GGGGCAGCCTGGGGGGGATCCGACCCTTTAGGCAATTCTGGAGCCCAAGGGCGAAGTTATGCTCTGCAAGCAGCTTCAGAGCGCAAGCCAAAAAAAAAACCCAACAAAGTTTGGGCCACAAGTTATAATATTAAAGTTCTTATTAAGTCTTCGCACCACAGGCCTAACAGAATATAATTAATTCTGTATCTTGTCTTTATTCGATTTTTGGTGAAATTTTGCTGCGGTGGAAGGGTGGAATTCTGGATATATCTGACAGGATGAGACTGTGCTCTCTTGGTTTAAAAGCTATCATGTCTAAAGAGGTACTACAGACTTTAGGGCTGAAGAAAGGGAGAATTAGAAACCTGTGACTGAATCTCATGCGAGTTCTGCAGACTGGCTAAAAAACCCAGGGCAAGTACCAGGATGTCTCTAGTTTTTTGTGTGGAATTAGGTGCACTGATATGCAGATTCTAACTTTAATACCAAGCAGAACATAATAAGTAATTTCATAGAAAGATAATAAAATACTATGTTAGAAAAGAGGAAAAAAGAGGTTAAATCCAACTGGACCGACTAATGAAATCTTCGTGAGTTGATGATATTTTAAGGACAGTTTGAGGTGTGAGTAGAAGAAAAGAGTAAACTGCCAGTCTGAGGAAGGCATGAATAAAAGGTGTGGAGCAGAAGGCTTGGTGCTTGGCAGAATGAGGCTGAAACAAAGGTAAACTGAGGAAATAATAGGGACAAAGGGTTGGAAAAGCCAGATCATAAGCAGCCTTATTATCACGCTAAGGAACCTGTGAGTGGAGAACCACCCAAGTGTTCTGAGGAGGGGACAAAATCTGAACTGGGTTCACTTAAGATTATGATAACAGGGTGAAGACTGAATTTCAACTAAGCAGAGGTGGGGGGCAGAGAGAACAAGGTGAGGTTCTTTATGACAGCACAGAACAAAGCCATGCCGAAGGATGACTCAGAGCTGTGTTTCTCTTGAACAGGAGAGGGAAAGTGTGTGTGTGTGTGTGTGTGTGTGTGTGTGTGTGTGTGTGTACGCAAAATGTCTTAAACAGACAAAAATATCTTGTGGAGGGTCCATAAGGGAAGTAAGTTTGTGACATTGTGCTCACACAGACATTCTGCAATGCTTAGTTTGATTTTCATTTTAAAAAATCAAATTTGCTGCATATTTAAGTACCTGTTTGTCCACTTTCTCTCCCTCTTGACAGATCTTTATAAACAACGAGTGGCATAATTCGGTGAGTGGCAAGAAATTTCCTGTCTTTAATCCTGCAACTGAGGAGAAACTCTGCGAGGTAGAGGAAGGAGACAAGGTGAGTTTCCTAGCACTAGTTCCATTTTATGCCAGGCTTTTTGCTTGTTTCTCACTATTCTGAGCCATAAACCCCATTTCAAGTTTAAGTAGACATGTCATGAAAATATGGTTTGTGAGGCCATCTGGGGAAAGGTACTCTTTTTAGCCACTTTTACAAATGATGATGTAACAGCAGAATATAAGGTTTGAGTAATTTACTCAAGGTGACACTGCAAATAAATAATGAAATCAGCAGTCAAATGCTGTCCTTTGATCCCAGAACTTGTGACTGACAGGGTTACTGCCTTACCTTGTAATTATTGTAAATAATTACATAGGATAATTTAAATAGCCTGGGGAGTGAGGAGAGTAAAAGCCTTTAGAATTTTAATCTGAACACATACCTTAAAAGGTATATGTGTTCACAGTTTAATTTGAAATGGTTTCTGGTCTGGAATTGTCCAGATGTTATCAAGCTTTAAATCTCTGTCATGTAAGATATAAAGACATAAAAATGTGGGCTTTTTGCTGTATGAAAAGACTACTGGGAGATGAAGTCAGCAAAACTCCAGGATAATAGCATTCATGACACTATGTTCAGTTCAATCACCATAGCAATCACATGTTCCTGTTGAGGCTTCCTTCTTTCATTTCCCTCTTCCCAATCAATGAGGTCACTAATCTCATGGTATTAAAACTTGCAGACTTATTCTAAGATAGCGATAGACCTGAGGGCCTCTTCTGAGTTTAGGGAGGGCCCTGGATTCAGGTTGCAGTATTAGCAGTGCAAATTAAGACCTATGCCTTTAGGGGCAAGAGTACAGTTTAGTCAGAAGGGTCAACAGCTTAAGAAGCAGAAGCAGAATAGAATGGAGACACATGTCAGCTGCTTTCAGATTTGACTTTCTGTATATGCCAGAGTTCATCTGTGCATAAATTCTTCAAGGGCTTCTCACTGTCTGGGGGAAAAGCAAACCCTTGTTTCTGGCCTCCATGCCAGCTTCCCCAACCCCCTTCAATGTAAGAGTCCCAACTTCATCATGTTCAATATCATCTGCCAAACACTGCATGTTGGTCACGGCCTCAGTGCCACAGTACGGTGAAGCCCTCAGGGCCTAGTTTAAATCATCTTCTGTAGTAAGACACCAGAAGTTGCACATTTGTATTTACCTGTAGAGCTTCTATTCCTTTTTCGATAAAATAGAGAGATTGCTGGGCCCCACCCAACCCTGGTGTTTGGTTCAGTAATCCTAGAGTGGGGCCTGAGAATTTGTATTTCTGACAGTTCCTCAGGTGATGCCAGTGTTGCTGGGTAAGGGTGGGCGAATACACTTTTAGAACCTGATCTAAAGTATTAAACAATACACTGTATCTCCTCTCAAGTGGTAGCGCTTAATAAGGTGCATGGACATTAGCAGGTAAGAAAGTTGATGATTGGAAACTGCTTGACAATCACTTTGTACCTCTAAGAAATGTTATAAGACCAAACTCGGGCAGAGAAATACTGAAAACACCTGGTGACATGTTCTAGTAGACCCAGAAGTCTGTGTCCTATGAGCCATTCCCAGAAAAAAAAAAAAAAAAAAAATCTATTCTTCACATTCAACAAAGAGGAACAGTTTTGTCAGAGACTTCTAGAGATCTACACAGCACTACATTACCTTGAATGTCTGTCTAGTTGCTTGCATGGCTCTGTCAACCCTGGGGAGGTGGGAAAAGCAATAAAAGTCAAGGTGAGGGCGAGGTTGAGCCCCTGATAGCTGCCCACTCTTTCTCTCTAGAAGTACAAATGCCACTCAGGAGGGAGACTGCAAAGCTTTTGGCAGGTTGCAAGTACAAAAGAAAAAATTCTTGATGCTTTAGCTCTAGGGCTTGGACATCTCGCTTTACAACTCACTGGCTTTCGGGTTTAGTTTCATCAGTCAAACAAATCTGAGCCTGGAGTTCCAGTAGAAATCTTGTCAGGCAATCTGAGGTCTTCTTGGCATCATTGGTGAGATTTACTTTCTTCAAGTGCAGTGAGGGTGAGCTGAGACCATTCCTAAAGCTTTAGAAATATTTGTCATTTACTTGCTTTGCATTTATTGACAATTATTTCCTGTTCATAGGAGAGCAGAAAATCTGTGCATGAGTAGATTGAGGACACTCATTCACTCCAACAAATCTTCTAAGCAGGTCACAATGTGAATCACGTTGGCTGGATATTTGACACTCAAGTTAAATTGTTTATGCTATAAAATGCTCACGGTTGACGACTGTTCACCTAACATCCAGCACTCTTGTCATCATATTTTAGAATGATCTACTAACACTTATTTTTAAGTAATTATTGCTGTTTTCACAATTCTGGTGACAAAAAAGTATAGTAACTCCTAACAGTGCTTAGCCAAAGGTAGAAATCTACTAAATTATAGAGTCGAAGTAAACCTAATATTCTGGAACTGACTCTTCAGATAATGAGCCAAGAGGTTTTAAGGATTTAATTGATGAGTAGAATGGAACTAACAATGGGCTATTTAGGGCCTTTTAATGGTATTATAAAGAAAGGGGGAGGGACAAGAACAAATGGAGGTTACAAAGCAAAGCACGGATGTGGGTGGGAACTGTTTTCTTTTCCCTTCACTGGCTCTTTTAGGCTATGTTGACTAATCCTGAAAACTGCTTTTAAAACTAAAGCATGACGGTAACAAGTAATTGCTGAGGATACAAGTAAATGTCCATTAAAGTATCTGCTATGACAGGTGTAAAAGTGAAACTGATCTGCTAACTATTTTCTCCAAATCTGAATGAATTCAGTGTGGAAAAGCACAGTCTGAGAGTGATAAAGAGTTTAGTCTTCTCTTACTATGTTTACAAGGCATTTGATATTTCATCATTATTCGAGTTATCTTTACCCATCAGCCTCGGTCCCTTACTTCAAAAAATGAACGTTTTAAACCCTGTGCAGCAAAAGTGTTATTGAGGGTAGCAAATTTGACTCATGTACCAAACTGTGTTCTGGTTAATTCAAAAATGATGACCTTGAAAAGTGTCATATACCTAATAGTTTTGATGAATGTAAAATTTTGTTATATAATTAAGTCAATTAAAATATGATTTATTATTTAAATGTCAATATAAGATTGTTTATATAAGGAGCATCATTATAAAAAAATTAATGTAACATGATGAGTTTATATAATAGGTAACAAATTATTAAATATTTATTAACTGCTGATTATACTCACGGAACAGTAAGGAATGTTATAGCTTATAATACAGACAGCAATAAATATTCACTGGAAAGGAGATCATTATCAGCATAGCCTTGCACAGCTATAAAACTGGATTTTGAAGTCAGAGATAGGATCAAATTTTGTAGGATGGATTTCATGCTGTATTTCATGTCTTGTAAAACTAGGTCCATGATGCTTAACTATTGTAGTAATTTGAGCTTATAAAGAAAACATTTAGTTTTTTGCCTGGAGCTCCATAGGCTCTTAACTAGTAGCTGGTGTCAAGCTGGATTAGTCTGTCAAAGGTTTAGGCAGGTTGTGATATTTCAGCTGGGTCTTAAAGAATATATAGGACTTTGAAAGTAAAAGGGGTGTGGTGGTAGAAAGTTCTAGGCAAGAATTACAAAATCAAAGGTGAGGAGTTGGACCAGATTGAGTAGAAAAAATGTAAAGAGAACTTTGAGTAGGTGAGGTGGGGCCCAAAATATTGGACCTTGAACATCAGAAAAAGGAGTTTGGCCTTAGTACTGCTGGCAAAAGAGGGGTAGTTGCAAATATGTGAGAGGGAAAGTGATAAGATAAAAAGGTTTGCAGAAGATTAGCCTGGTAGTAATAAGCAAGACCTTTGGGGAGAGAAGAGAATGAGTGGACTTGGGAATGTTGGCAACAATATGAGATAATAATGCCAAAAATAATACAGGGCAGTGAAAACCAAAGGAAGGATTAAAATATACTAGAACCGCTGAGAGAGATTTTAAAGTTTTTTTTGACTGCTACAACTACAATACAATTGCTACCATTTAATGAACAGTTAACATAATGTGTGTCACATAGAAAATGTGATTCAAGTGTTACCTTATTTAATCTTCAAAACAACTCTATGAGGTGACATCTCTATTTCAAAAATAAGAAAATTAAAGCTTAGAGATGTCACTTTCCAGTACCTTTTGCTTCAGAATATTCTTTACATTTTACAATATATTGGAGTGTTTACTTTGTTGTATATTTCTCCCATTCTATTGGAATTTTCAAAACAATAATCTCTTTACATCAGTATTTTATTATTAGCAGCCTGATGATAACAGTGCTACAGAACAGAGAAATTAGCAGATCTTTGGATGGATGGATGGATGGATGGATGGATGGATGGATGGATGGATGGATGGATGGGTGGGTGGATAGATGATGGATGGATGACTCAAAGCTTACATAGTTAATACATGAGGCAGCAGAGTTAGCGTCTGAGTTGTTTTGTTTCAAAGCTATGTATTAACTTACTCTATTTCTGTGCCTATAAGATAAAATATAAGATGTAAGAAAAGTAGAAGCATGATGCAAAGAACATGACCAAAAGAACATCCTTATTTATAGCAGCGTTCTCCAAGGATGTATTTTCCATATGGCGGAGTTACTCGTCTTGAAGCAAGTTTTTCCATGTCCCTCTGAGGGGCCAGACTGTCTATGATAAACCGTACTTGGCTAAGGCTGATGGCAGAACACTGAGCAGAAGGGTCCAAATGAAAGCTGTGTCATACAGACCTGTTTAAACACATCACAGCATATATTTTATAAGCTGTGGTATCCACATATCATGCGGGCAATTTCAGGTTCTTGTGGTTGGCTTTTTTATTTTTCCAACAGTGCTCTCTAAATATAACTTGGAAAAGGTTAGAATCTATGGCATAAAACAATGTCCAGATATAAGCAATCATTGTGATTAACTGAATGCCCAAAATAACAGTATATATGTTTCTTAGGAAGAGCAAGTAGTAATGCATATATTTTCCTGTATATATTCATTCTCTCAGGTTAGACAGGGAGATATACAACTGTATGATGTATTATAGTGAAGGAATGTTTGCTTGTAGTTTGTAAATATCATTACTTAATCAAACCAGATTATACTTCTAAAATCTCCTTCTCACCCCAAATCACCTTAGAGTGGTGATAAATACTGTAAAAATAGTTAATTTGTTTGAATTTTAATTTACAGACTTGTAAGTTTAGGATTTCTTAATTGACTATATCGTAAGGTAGGGATATTCATTTGAAGTACATGCCTCTCAAAGGGGTGATGTCGTCTTTGAGTGGAGTTTAGTTTAATTGTGGGCAACTTAAAAAATGTAGCTGGCTGGGTAGCTCAGTTGGTTAGAGCGTTGTCACAATATGCCAAGGTTGCAGGTTGGATCCCTGGTTAAAGCACATACAAGAACCAACCAATGAATGCATAAATAAGTGGAACAACAAATAGATGTCTCTCTCTCTCTCTCTCTCTCTGTCTCTCTCTCTCCTTTTCTCTCCAAAATCGATCAATCAATAAATTTTTTAAAATGTAGAATAATTTTTCCCCTCAGATTCTCAAAGAAAATTATGTCTCCTGCAGAAAGTTGCAACCTATGGGCTTGAAACATAAAAAAAGAGAACAATCTGTGTTTTTAAGCTGTTTACAACAGATTTCATAGGGAAAAAAAGAAACACATGAAGTGGTAATGGCAGAGGTGGTGACTTCTGTAGTGTATATATTCTATAGGAGCTCGGGAGAGGTCTGAACCGGAATCTGGAGGGAATGCAGTGGTCAGGGAAAAGTGGATAACTGAGGTGGACTAGGAAAGAACAGGAATATTAAAACCAGTTCAGAAAAAAGACAGAATGAGGGCAACGTGGGTGAAGGCAAGGAGGCCTGACTGAGTGTGATGGCATTACTTGATTATCTGACTTTTACTTGAAGTAATGCAATTTTAAGCAGTACCTTGTTAAAAAGAGAGAGAGAGGGAGGGAGAGAAAGAGAGAGAGAGAAGAAGAAATAAATTGACTCTTTACCTAGTTAGGGATCTAAAAGGATCTTTTGTACCCAGTTGGGAAAGGAAAGGCTATCACATACAGACCCTTCTCTATGCCAGTTTCACCACCTATATAACCCGTATGTATGCCTTTTTTCCACTGCACAAAAGGAACGAGCAACTTGTTTATAAAGTTTCCTCTTCAACAGCAAAACAAAGTTCTTATTCACCCTTCAGTAGGTTCTTCATGAGAGAATGCACAGACCATAGAGTCACCGGAGATTAAAGAAGATAATCACTATTTTAGATCTTGAGCTTTCCCTGGAGCTCTGGGTAACTGAGTCACCAAAGCCCTATAACGAAACAGTGAAGAGCAGAGGCTCTGCAGTCGACTGGCTCCGTGTAAAGCTCAGTTTGGCCACTTTTGGCTCTTGACCAAATCTCTCTCTCTTTGCTTCAGTTTCTTCTATAAAATGGGGAAGATACTTGTTTCAGAAAATTATTGAGAATGAAATGAGTTAATATGTGTGAAGTAATTAGAACCTTCCTTGACATGTGGCAAGCACTCAATTAATAGCAACTCTCAAAATATTATATTTATATCCTAGAAAATCTCCCATGTACTGTGTGTGGGGAACTCATTCTAAAGATTAGGCAGCCGGTGCAATTTCCAATGTACAGTAGTTGGGTTGATACAATGTGCTAGACTGTGGGCTAATAAAGACACAGTGCCTGCTTGTGAGGTGCTTTGATCTGTTTTATAGGGTTATTGCCACCGGATTTGCCAATATGTTTAACTTACTAAATTGAATTGCCTTTGACTTGCAGGAGGATGTTAACAAAGCGGTGAAGGCCGCACGCCAGGCTTTTCAGATCGGCTCTCCATGGCGTACTATGGATGCTTCCGAGAGGGGACGGCTGCTGTACAAGTTGGCTGATTTAATCGAAAGAGATCGCCTGTTGCTGGCAGTGAGTACTAACCAAACTGGGCAGGAAGTGAGATCTCTAGAAAGCATTCACGATTTGGATGGCTAGCTGTTTTGATTTTAGTGATCCCTACATGTTCTCTACAAAGAAATCAAAGAGACTTTATGTATCAGCTCTCATAGGAACATTACCATTGAGATTATTCTTAGATAGCAGTCTGCACACTGGTTCTGGACGGTGTTATCTTCTACTCTCAGAATAGAGTCTATAGTCTAAACTTTGGCAAAGTCCTAGTTAAACCAAACTAAACAAATCTCTTTCCTTTACTCTGCAATTTCTTAGAGCAAAGTGGGGTGTGACTATCCTAGAATAATACACTGAATTTTTCTAACTTACTTGACCATGGACCTCTTTGAGTAGAAAATCTCACCGAGTAAAGGTGCCTAAAATATTTCCCTAAAATAAATCTTATTTTTCTTTACTCTCACCCTCCAAGACACTTAATAAATGGTCACTTTTTTCCTCCCTGAAATGAATATGTTTACAATGGTCTTGATTAAATTATGTTCTTTTTACAGGTGAAAAGATGAAGAATAAAGAAAAAATTTAATTATTCATATGTTTATAAAAATTATGTTCTTATGTATACTGACTATTATTTTTAAAAACATTTTAGCAGTTAGATGAGTAAGCACATAAAACGGATGGGGGAAGATTACTTCTTTGTTTTCTTCTCAATTGGGTATTACAATGAAACCAATTTAACACAAACCAATACCAAGATCAGGGCTCAGAATAAATTTTTATTACTTCTAGACTCTTAACTGGCAGTAACATTTGTTTAAAAATCAACAGTAGCAATTATAGTCCCTCAAAACACGACTTACTACTCAAAAGATTCAAAACATGCGGAACTATGCAATTAGAAGCTATATACAATAAAACTACACTAACCAAAATGTCCTGTAGGAAGAAAGAATTTGCCAGAAGCTGGCTGCTACTATTTATCTGGTCTGTGGATTATAGAGTGCTGACTGCTTTTGCCAGCATAAGATCCTAAGGGGGGAAATAGAACAGGCATACAAAATCATGTTTGATGAAATTTTGAGATGGCGTGGAGTATAAAGTAGAGACAGAAGATTGTGTGATAGATGAGGAACAGCTTTAATAGCTTATCACCTCTATGTTCCTGCCCCAGAGAACATCAGGTTCCGACGAGTTCTGCTGGAGAAAGGGAGAAAAAGAGGAGAGATCATCTTATGTTGGTTAGGGCGCTAGGCTAGAAAATGTTGAACTTCACAGCCTGACCATCCAAATAATAATTATGATAATAGTGGCAAAACTAGAAGTTTCCCAATTAAAAATTCTGCTGAAGAAACTCATGGATGAAAGATCCAGGGGTCACTTAACTTTGTGTGAACTGATTGGTTCTATCCAGATGGAATGCAAAAATTAAAAATGATTATTGAGGCATTATTAATAGTCACTGACACTGAATTGTCACCCACATTTGTATTAAACAAGTGAAATCTTATTGGAACCCTGAACCATCTAAGGAGAACAAGTTGCCCCTCTCACTAGCTGTGTGTATATCAAATTGTGATCACTTCCTAGAAAGATGGTGAATTAGAGAACATTCAGAATGAGACAGAAGGAGCAGTAGAGTTTAGAAACCAGGATCTTACTAACCCTTCTCTCTAGATCTTGCTCTGACTATAAGAAAATCATTTTAACTCCTATTTCAGTCTTTTTTTTTTTTTTTTAAGAAAATGAGGTTAGACAAGATGACTTCTATTTCCAAAATTTACTAGCTCATCATTATTCAAAATATTAATATATATTTTTAATCTAAAAATTCACAGAAGTCTAGATCTGAGGTTTGACCTATTTTTCAGACAATGGAGTCAATGAATGGTGGAAAGCTATTTTCCAATGCCTATCTGATGGATTTAGGAGGCTGCATAAAGACACTACGCTACTTTGCAGGGTGGGCTGACAAGATCCAGGGCCGCACAATACCTATTGGTGAGTAGCTTTGAGAAACCCCGTGGGGGTGGGTAGCAGTGAGGAGATTACTATAGAGCTGAATAATTCTAAACACTCCCCTTTAAAGATGTCAACCAAATAAGGCAAAATTATTGTCTTCTTGACTTTGAGACAATGCAGTTCTGAACCTGGAAGTTCAGCTAAGATTCATCAACCAGCTTTTAAAATTGTTTCAGCATAATTGTGCAGAAGGGAACACTATAGATACTTTATAAAACATTAAAGTGAAAACATTCTTATGCTTGAATTACTGACTAAAGGCAATTTTCTCTCTAAGGGCCCAAACTTTGCAAAGCTGGCCACTGAAATGATTTATGTGAGTTTTATTCCAATAGAAGCACTTACACCCTTTCGAAATTGTAGTTATTTAAGCCACTTTGCATGTTTCAGTGTGAGTCAGTTATGGTCGTCTGTGCCTGGTCTCACTTAGTATAGTTACATTAGATTAATTAAACAAACCAATTCACATTGATTTGTTTCAAGTAGCTTTAAAGCAAAATGGGACTCTGTTTATAGCACGGTTTAAGAATTTGTGTGAGTAAATGATTATTTTGTGTTTTAGTATTTTAGTACGCTATGCACATAATGGAAATAGGAATATTGAAAAGACATCATTTGGGAAAACATTATGGGTAGAAATTGACTCAGAAACCAACTATAGAAATATAGGGCTCTCCAAGACTGGCCCTGATGGGTATTTTTAATGTAGAGCGTCCAGCAGGTTAGAAGTAATAGCCAAGAAGATAAAAGGGGAGAGTAAGACCCTGGTAATACCAAGAAATGTGGCTATTTTAGAAACTCTTACTTAACCCTATGACAAAATGGGAGAAGCCATTTAAAGTACCAATAGAGCCCTAGCCGGTTTGGCTCAGTGGTTAGAGCATCAGCCTGTGGGCTGAAGGGCCCTGGGTTCGATTCCGACCAAGGGCATGTGCCTTGGTTGCAGGCTCGACCCCCGGCCCCAGTCGGGGCGTATTTGGGAGGCAACTGATTGATGTGTCTCTCTCATGTCGATGTTTCTCTCTCCCCCTCCCACTCTCTCTGAAAAGTAATGGAAAAAATATCTTCCAATGAGGATTAAAATAATAATAATAAAGTACCATAGATTTTGATAAGGAGCCTTCTTGCTATGATAGCCAAGACGTTTTGTGGGAACTAGGACAGAGAACACAAAGCACCATGTAGCCTCAGGATGACCACATCAAACTTTGAGGCATATGAAAAATCAAATCCAGATTGAAAAGAAATGTCTTGTACTTTGGGCATTTTTTTCATGGATTGAAAGAGTTTGCTTTTATTGTTTGGTAGGCAAAAAACAAACAAACATTTTAGAACAAACCAGTAGGAAAGACTTATTGCTTGTAAGGAAATTTTTTTAAAAATTCTGCTACCTTTCAGTTTTACTAGTTTAAATTATGTTACTTAAAAAAATTTCCATCGTTACTGGTAGAACTTAGAGTTTCCAGAAACAGAATTTTAATAGTTCTTTTCTCAGTCACAGGCCTTTTATTTCCTTTCTGATGAAAGAAAGGAAACAGAATAAGATGATACATAAAATAGTCCTCCTATATGGTGAGAGAATTAAATATCTGTCAGATCTTTTCCAATTTTGCATTTTGGCTTTGGCCTAATTCAGTTTTATGGTTCCTCTCAGTTCAAATGACTATTTGAAGGCTCAGATTTTTATTTGGAGATATAAAAGATATAGTTGGAGATAGCTTCTTTTTTTGTTATTGTTGTTTATACCTTCCTCCCACATCAGCCCCAAACTACCATTTCATGAATGTCAGTCACATTATATATAAATGATTGTGTGTTTTATTTTCCAGATGGAGACTTTTTTACTTATACAAGACATGAGCCTATTGGTGTGTGTGGCCAAATTATTCCTGTAAGTCAGTCTCCTATATAATTTTCAATCTTAAAAAGAAAATGATTTCTAATTCTGTTTCATTTAGTAACAAGACTTTCTCCAGCACAAATGGATTCTTACATGTTTACTAAATGTGGGGCAAATATAACTGTTGAATTTGTGTCTCCCTGTGACTGAACTCCTTGGATATGAATTGGATAGTCCAGAAACCTATCTATATCCTGAATCTCTTAAGTGTGTTTCAGTATTAGAGCATCAACAAATCTTTACCTTTTACTCTGGTTTGTTTTTAAAATACTGTATTATGTGCTCTTTGAGATTCTTTGTTTTGTTTTGTTGTTGTTGTGTGTGTGTTTTTTAAAAGCAGTGTTATATACTCTTTTCAAATTATGAGTGAATTTTTAAAATTTAAATGGAAAGAAAAAACTATGGGAGCACTGTATGGAATACATTCTTACTTTAGATAAGAGGCTTTGACACTTCAAATGCCTCATAGAGAAGGTAGTATTTTTAATCAGAATGGTGAGGATTTTCTTGTAAGCCCAACAAATAGGAAACTATCTAAAAGATTTCACTTTCACTGACTTATTCAGAAAGGCCAAATAAAAAGTTGGTGAAGTGTCCCAAAGCTCTTAGATGAGGAAGTAGTAATGACTTATCTTCTGTTCCAGTGAGATTGAAATGTATACATATCAACATTTTGAAAGAAATTTCTTGTTAGTTTAAAAATTCCAATAAAATTCATAAAAACGACAGTGTCAAATAGCTAATATTTAATATGCCCACCTATGATGAACCAGTCACTGTGTTAAGTATTTGCCCCATCTTTTCCATGAATCTCCAGGACAACTTTCTGGGGTAGAGAAGACTTGTATCAATACTTATAGATGATGAGCTCATGCCGAGAGAGCAGGGAACTTGTCTGAATTCACATGGCTAGTTGGTGGTTGAACTAAGATGTGAACCAAGCTCTCAGCCTTCAGACCCTAGACTTCTTTGTCTTTAACAAGATATTTGTCTTAGAAATAAATCCTAAATAACATTATTGGGTCAATAATTACAATAGATGATCTACTTACAGAGAAGGAGAAATAATCACATTTTTAAACACTTACATATAACTTATAATATGTTGAATAGTAAGGCTTGATTTCCAAACCATGCAGTGATTTTTCTTTTTCCTGGTAGAAAAAGCTCAATAGAACAGCACTTGATATGTTGTGGCTCCCTCCTGTTCCTCTTCTGTGTCCAGTTTCTTTGGAACTTCTTAGCATTTATGAGTCACTTTTAGCAATGAACTTAATTAGAATACCCCTGATGATTAAACAAAACTACTACAATTATTAACATCTACCAGAAGGGTATAATGTAGAAGTCAGATTAGCAAATGTGACTTTCAGCAATACAAAGACTCCATTGTTTCCCCTTGCTTTCTAGTGGAATTTCCCATTGGTTATGTTCATTTGGAAAATAGGGCCGGCCCTAAGCTGCGGAAACACAGTAGTTGTCAAACCGGCAGAGCAAACTCCACTCACTGCTCTTCACGTGGCATCTTTAATAAAAGAGGTAAGTTCCTAAATGAAAATATGCACAAAACTCAGGAGTCCTACCTTACAATAGGAAGACCTCATTTGCTGCTACTGTAAATGACATCACCTGTCAATGGCTCCCTTCCAGTGGTGCAGACACATTTAGCATGGCCGTGGGCTGGGATCTCTGCAGGCAGTCAACCCAAGTGAACCTCTGCCCAGATGGAGACAGGAAGCCACACTTGAAGGTTTCATGTCAAACAGTCACTTCATGATGACATTTTTATTTCTTTAACCTAATTCTCGTGAATGCAAATTCATGTGAATATGATATGACTTCCTTTCAAATGTTGAAATTTAAGTTGGTTTATAACCACTAATGACCTGGAGGTTCTGCAAACTGTCTAAACTAGTCCATCCAAAGGTTGAAGTCCTCTGTGCTAATACACTTGCTTGTAACATTGGGCTGCATTATTTTTAAGCACATCTACTCACAACGAGATATGTTGATACTCTCTTTTCTAGTTTGATTCCCTCTAAATGTACCTTCTTAGTCACTAGAACATAAATTCAGGAATACTGAACCCACATTTTAAAACTACTCTTCACTTCAAATTTTAAAATTCAAGAGAGAGACCAGACTGATGGTTACTGCAGAGGAGGGGATTGGGGAACTGGGTGAAAAAAGGTGAAGGGATTAAGAAGTACAGATTAGTAGTCGAAAAATAGTCTCAGGGGTGTAAAGTACAGCATAGGGAATATATTCAATAATATTGTAATAAGTATCTGTGGTGCCAGATGGGTACTTGAAATACTGGGGGGAACATTTTGTAAAGTATGTGATTGTCTAACCACTAAGCCGTACACCTGAAACTGATAACAAAATAATACTGAATGTAAACTGAAATTAAAAAATTAAATTTAAAAAACAAGAGGCATTTTGATATAAATAACATGAAATTTTAATATACCCATGTCAGTTGCAGCACTGTTTTCTACCTAATTCTTTAACTAGGACTAAAATCAATCTGTGAAGCTTAATCATGACTGGATGACTGTTCTTATCTAACACTGTACTGATTACATAATGCGAAGGGAATCTGCAACCCAGTCCGTTTGCTCTGAACCATCAACAGCTAGAGACTAAAATGTGGGTTCCCTTTAGCTTCTTAATTTTGCTTTCCTTCTATGTGAGTAATTTAGCAGGCACTGCTGTACATACTATCCTTCTGTTTGGCTACTAAGCAACTTGAGACAGTCATCAGTGGAGCGATGATCTACAAAAGTCAAACATGGATTCCCCCGAGAAGAAAGGGGCCCTCAAAAATGCAACCAACCCTTGAGGTTATTTTAAGTGGGCTAACAAATGAAATAATCATAGTAGTAATAATAATAATAAAACCACTTAAGTGAATCTTGTCTTGTATAGACGCTCATGAGGTTAACATAAAGTGGCAGCTTCGATCCCATGCTCTCCCCTTTTCTTCATGGAATTAAACTCTCTTTCCTGTCATAACTGTTTTTACTTGGCCTCTTTTAGGCAGGATTTCCTCCTGGAGTTGTGAATGTTGTCCCTGGTTATGGGCCGACTGCAGGGGCCGCCATTTCTTCTCACATGGACATAGACAAAGTGGCCTTCACTGGATCTACAGAGGTAACTTCCCCCCTCAGGCCAGTCGTTAAGGATGTCTGCCTCTCCAGCTGTCAGAAGCGTGTTTCATGTAACTCTCTTTAAGCTGACATTTCCTTAAAACAGAAGTTCTTTTTAATGGTTCGTTCCCTATTCTAACCTTCAAACATGTTTATAGAACATAAGCAGATGTGGCTGAGATGAAACGGAATACCCAGGACCAGCTCCGAAGGACTGGAGTGCGCTGTTCAGTGCGCTCATTACTTTCCCCGATGACAAATGTGACCAGTTAGACCTTGTCTTAAGGTTAGGTACAGTTTATATAGAAAATATAAGTTAGGCTGCAATGATTTGTATAGATGAATGAAATTTTATCCTGTGGATTATAAAACTTAAACAGCAGAGCCTCTCCCTTAGCTCCTTATTAGGGGCTGTCTCTTCTGCGAACATTCGAAAGGCCAGCAGCTCAGCTTCCCCGGATGTTACTGCTGCCCAGCCTCACTTTTCTGCCTCTCTGGGCCAGGTGGGCCATCTAGAAGGTTACAGAACAGGGCCTCAGCCATGGGTACTGCAAGGAGAGGTGAGGTGGGGGGGGTGGGGAGATCCCCTTGGAAGGTGGAGTTCGGGAGAATGGATTCCCACCTACTGAGATGATTTTCTAGTGAAAACAAAAGAAAGTGGTGAAATTTTACTGTAGGAAGCAAGAAAACTCTGGAGTCATTTTTATTAGATTATGTGACATTGTCAGTTGTTTAATACAAAATATAAAGTGTGCCTCTTCCAGGAATACAGCATAGAAGGTGAAGAGCAGCTTTAACCCCTTCTTGTAAAGCTGCTGACAGGATGTGATAAGATACAAAGTGTGTACGAGGTGCTGTAAGGGAGCTCACAGGAAGGAATCCTGATGTCTAAACAGGTGCTAGGACTAGCTCTGGGGTTTGAAAATGGTTAGTTTTTTAACTTCCTGAAAAGATTGAGAGACAAGAACATTCTAGATAGTGAGGAAAAACTAACTGGATTACTTTATACTCTAATTAGCCACTCCAAAATAAAGAAACATTTACATAGAGAACTAAAACGGTAGGAAATCAAATTTTATTTTTTCTGATCATTTTAAAACTAGGTAAATATATACTTTTTCTTGTGTTTTTATACATATTAAGTAGAAAAAGTCTTCAAAGCCCTTACTGAGGTAAAGGAAAGCCAATCAACCCCACATTCAGGATTCTGCGGACAAAACAAATGGGAATGTTCGAGACACAGCAACAAAAATTTAAAAATGGTGAAGTCATAGGTTGTAATCATGGCAGAGGAGGTAAAGGCAGAAATGCACAAATTCCTCTCAGCCTAGCATTCCAGACCCTCTGCAGCAGGGACTCCATGCATATTTCCAGCTCTAGATCTCATGCCTACTCATTTCTCCAGCTCCTCTGAGCCAGGGGCTTCTGTTCCCTGGTCCCATCTCCAGCATCATTGCCTGTTTGTCTTGGCTCATCCCTGAGCCACTATACTATCCTGGGACAGTATCTACCAACAAAGAAATCTTGAGGTTAGAAGACTAGGAAACACCCCGGTTCACATTCTCACTCTATCCCTATAAGTCGTGCCTTCCAAAAGTTAAGTATTCTTGCCAAATTTGAGTTTCTTCATTTGTAAAATTGAAAGAATTATATCTACCTTCTTGAGTAGTACAGAATAAAATCACATGAGCTAATGAGTAGTAAAACATTTAGCATCCTACCGAGTACTCAATAAATGGCACAGTGATTATGCGTGCTCTGTGCTCATTCCCATTTTCATATTTCTTCACTCATTCTTTGATTTCTCACATGGGTTTAGAAGTTGTGAGGGAAGAGGTCATCACTTCCTGATCATTCCATGTGTCTTTGATTTCTCCAGGCTTTTGCTCATAAATGACCACACCAACTCTAGTGACTCCCACCACATGTTACCTCTGTCTTTCTCTGCGGTCCCAGAAGCATTCTGAATTTTAAAGCTCTCCATCTGTGTTCCTGTTGTCCATGATATGTAATTATGATCGCGCATGCTCATTGCTTTCTCATGTACTCTCTGCTGACTGTCCTCAAACACTATCTTATTCATTGTTACTTCCCAAGCCAGCACAGTAATTACTTCTAAATAAATATCAAAACAAATTAAGTTGCCCAGCTGACATGGCTCAGCGGTTGAGCATTGACCTAGGACCCAGGAGATCGAGGTTCGATTCCCATTTAGGGCACATGCCTGGGTTGCGGGCTCGATCCCCAGTGGGAGGTGTGCAGAAGGCAGCTGATCAATGACTCCTTTATCATTGATGTTTCTATCTCTCTCTCTCCCTCTCCCTTCCTCATTCTGAAATCAATATAAAGACTTTTTTTTTTTTTTAATTAAGTTGACTAAGATGATCTTTGAAGCCACACAGAAAAATCAGTCTTTCAGAGTTCTTTCAGCTTCAGGTTTGTTACCTGGAAGGTAGGGAACTTGCCAAATGCCATAAAAGAAGCAAACTATGCATTCTTGTGGTCATGGTAGCAATGAACCCCATCCTAAAAATGCTTCTGGCAAGGTGTGAATGTTAATGTCCCATTAGATTCATTTAAAACAGTATCAAACCGACATTGTGCAGGATAAAATAAGTTAAGACATTTTCATGAGCATTGCTATTTCCACCCACATGGCAATGCCACAACTTCATGACACATGCTGTTTACCATAATCTTAAGAGTTCTTATGTTTTCTTCATTGCAGACCTCTTTGGAGAAAATGATGAAACTTTACTTTTTTCCAAATAAGAGAAGAAAGTCACAGGACAAAAATTAATGTTTCCTGGTTTTGGCTTTAGATATACTTTAGGGAAAATGGAAGCGAGCCTGTTTATTTGCCAGCTGAACTGGCACTAAGTAAAAGTGTAACCTTTCTACTTCCCTTGTATTTCTTCTTCTTCTTTTTTATAATATATCTTTATTGATTTCAGAGAGAGGAAGGGAGAGGGAGAGAGAGAGAGAGAGATAGGAACATCAGTGATGAGAGAGTCGTCATTGATCAGCTGCCTCCCGCGTGCCCCCTGTTGGGGATCAAGCCTTCACTTGTACTTCTAACCATTCTTCATACTGGTTCTTTTGACATCTGTGGCTTTTAGAAAAATGCCTCTTATCTTACTCCTTTCCCAAAACAAAAGTCATCTACTTTAATAAAGTTTCTCCAGTAAACCTAAGACAAAATAAAAAGGGAAAGAAAAGAAGAAGAAAAAATGCAGAAAGAATTTGGAGAATTCAAAAGGCGAAAGGCAAGGAATATTATCTAAGAAACAGAAAATTCTTAGTTGCCTTAAATGAAAATTTGGTTTTTTAAAGTGCTCATAAAACGTATATTGTGGAAGGAAAAGGGGATATAAGAGAAATTTCAGACATGGTTTCCTCATGGCAAGTCTAGTTTTAGTTTATTTTTATTAATCTTAAAGGTTTGGTTTAGTCCCATGAAATTTTAAATCAGATGAAAACATTATCAAATTAATTAATGCTCTACTCTGTAATGTAGTCAGTTCAGTAACCACACAAAATTTGAACATATATTCAGCAAGCATTTCTTATCTTTTGTTCAGTTAGGATAGAAACCTTTTATTTTATTTTTTTAAGGATCTAATTGGCTTTACTCAATGATTCAGGAATTGGGCAGCATCCCATCTAGTAAATAGAAAGGTGCTCCTGAAACTTTTCATTAAAATCTGATGTGTCCAGAAGGAAAAGAAATCCAGAAAATAAAAGAAGCAAGCTAAAATGAATCTTTTTAAAAAAATACAAGGATCATTTTAGAGCATTAAGATTTTAATAAAAGTACCAAATAATCATACAGGCCAGGTTTCCGAGATGGGAAATAAAAACAAGCACAGAAAATAATCTTGATGGGACGTGATCCACAAAAAAAGGAGTGAAAAAAGAAAGAAAGCAATGGGTTTCTCTGAAGAGAGGCAACCAGCATTAAAGAACCAGAACAGCAGGATTCCAGCAGCGCAGAGCACAGATCCAATTTCTTTCTTCTAACTCCACTGTTCAAAGGTGCGGAAGGGGAGAGAGGAAGGTCTGTCACTGTGATAGCCGGTGCTGAGAGGAGGTATGCAGAGATAGAATAGTGTCACTGCTCCCAAGGAGGGGACCTCTGTTTGGGGATTGAAATCTGTCCACATAATACAATCTGAGGGAGGCTCTGAAAGAATCCTCAGGGAGGTACCATGGGAAGTAAGAGGAAGAAGGGGTCATGTCCACTTGGAGTCATCAGAGAGGGATTGGAAAATAAGCTAAGATGTGACCTGGACCCCAAGGAAGGGTAGGGTCGGAAGCAGCCCAGGTCGGGTGGGCATCTAATGAGGAACAGGTCTGTGAGATTCAGGAGGTGGTGAGTGTGGCAATTAGTCTGGATAAAGTTTCCTTGGTTTCAGTAGAGGGATGAAAAAAGTCAAATATACAAGTTACCTTTGGAGGCAGATGTGTCAGATCTATCCATAGAAAGGTGGTGTTCTGCTTAAAATGAAAGAACAGCATCCGATCTAGCCATGCACATCAAGGTTAGATTTCGTATTCTGTATCTCTGTCCTCATGAGCGTTTTTCTGATTCATCGCATAGTTATGCTTGGAGTAGGGGCCTTAATATCCGAAGGTAACAGATCTTTAAAAATGCCATTTGATATTTCTCTGGAGTGAAACTTAACCACGGCACGCACTTCGTATACGTTTAAAATGCTAAGTAAGCCTGCGGTCGGGAGAGCAGGTTTAAGCCTCCGCTTTTGTAACGCTCCGTTTCAGGTCGGCAAGATGATCAAAGAAGCTGCAGGAAAAAGCAACCTGAAGAGGGTGACCCTGGAGCTCGGCGGAAAGAGCCCTTGCATTGTGTTTGCTGACGCAGACAGTGAGTAGAAGCCACTCGTTAACTTTTCACCCTTCCTCCTTTTTGGCGCCTGGTCATGTCACACAGTGACCTGGAAATTGGCACCAGGGCTTGTTTCTCACGTCAAAGTGTAAGGCATTAACCAGAGTCCAGAAGTACTCTTGAAAATTGCTTAAATTGTCCTAACATTATAGTTCTATGTAAGCCTAACAGAGATACTATTTCTTTCTTGTTTGGAATGGATCAGGCTAAACTCTAAATGAACCAATTGTTTTGCACTCAGGAGCCATAATATATTTTTTTAATTCCATACCTTTAAATATGAGCATCACATTAAGAATAGTGAGATACCCTCAGACATATTGGACTGAGGCCAACAACCACATTTATTCAGATTCTACAATTTGTTGCTGTCTTTTCAGAATCAGAAAGGATTAGAAAGGTTAACTTGTCACCTGGCTGATAAGAGGTGGAATATATTGAATCAGTATCTGACTACATGACTCATGATTTTTCCGTAACACTGCATTACCTTTGAGAAATATATATAAAATATATTGTCTTTAGGAAAGAGCTCTTCTTTAACATGAATGTCTTCCTTGCAGTGGGCAGTGCCGTTGAATTTGCACACCACGGGTTGTTCTACCACCAGGGCCAATGCTGTATAGCCGCATCCCGCCTTTTCGTGGAAGAATCCATTTACGATGAGTTTGTTCGCAGGAGTGTTGAACGGGCTAAAAAGTACGTTCTTGGAAACCCCCTGACCCCAGGAGTCAATCAAGGCCCTCAGGTGAGGCTACAATAAAGGGCAGCCTTTCCAGGGGACAAGATAAAGTGTCCTAGGGGACAATACTGTATTGATTTGATTTAAAAAATAATTAATCTGACTCCCAACAGTGGAGAAAACATCATGTTTTTGTGTTGCCTCATTTTTATGTCTAGGAGTGGAAGAGTCATGTTGGGAATTAAAGATGTGAGGAAAAATAACAAATTATAGAAATTTCTTGTTTTCTTCAATCTGCATGCCTCTTGATTTCTAGATGCAGTTATCTGTCCACTTGGAAGTTCTTATTCAATCTGTCATTTATTTCTTCTTCAGCATCAACAGATAGAGGCACCCAGGATGTATCTACATTCTCTCCAATGTCTGCATTTACTCTAATGGTGACATGAGTATCCTAAAAGGTCCTGAGTTCCCACATTTGTAGCAACCTTCTCATCTTAGTTGTTAAAAACCAATTATTCCTATGGGGTTCCCTTTTTCTTCTGTCTACTTAGAACCATTATTAATAAGAGTGTCTCCCTCTTTAGCTCTTTCTCTCTCTTACTGAAAGGCCGCTTTTACCTCTTTCTTGCCCAGTTCTTTGTTTCTTGTCTATTATGGAAGCTCCTGAACCTTTGGTTCTAAATTTACCTTGCCCTTTGGGATCTTGATCTGGAGCAGAGGTTCTCAACTGAGGACAATTTTGCCCCCCCATCAAAGGGACAATTGGCACTGTTTGAGACATTTTCTTTTGTTACAACTGGGGGCAAGTAGCAGTTCGACTGGCATCTAGTAGGTAGAAGCCAGATGTTACTGAACATCTTACAATGCACAGGAGAGCCCCACAACAAACATTTATCTGGCCCAAAATGTCCATAGGGCTGCTGTTGAGAAATCCTGTGCTAGAGTCTACATGGTAAGCTCAGAGGCTTTATTCTTTCACACTAAAAATTATACACTGTTCCACACTGTTGATTTAAAAGAAAAACAAAAAACTATTATTGACTTGTTCACTAAGCCAAAGATAAATTTGATTAACCAAAATTTATTGAACACTATTGTCAGCCAAACACTGGGATAGGTACCTGGCAATGCCAAAAGAAACAGGAAATTATGCTAACCGACCTCATGCAGTTTCCAGTTGAGATAAGTTGAAAGGCTGTCTTGTCATTTCCTGCTCACAAGATATCCTAGTAGTAAAATCTTGAAAGTTAGGCAATGCCAAATATTCAGACATAAAAGCCCCAAAATAACTGGCAAATCAAGTAATAAGTAGTTCAGCGTTATCCCTTTATACTTTGTATTTATCTTGGAGTCACATTTTGGTATAACATAGTGCTGGAGCTAGCTGCTGGTTGTATGAGCACATTGTCAATAACTAGACATTAAAATATAAATTTCCATATTTTTTAGAAGTTAGTGACCATATAAGTTTTCTAACAAACAAACAGACAAACAAATAAACAAATCCTTTCAGCCTCTATATGCCAGTGCATATAAGCAGGTATTGTATTGTCACCAGATATCCACTATGGTCACAGATAGGGAAAAGTTCTGACGGGAAATACATCATGAGATAAAAACCAAAAATTAAAATTAAAAAAAAAAAATCATGATTTTTGGAGACAGATTAATATATTAGGATGGGCCAGAGAAGCTTTGCATGGAAGTACATAGATCCTTGACTATTTATTGACAAACTAGAGTATTTTAGCCAGGTGGAGCTACCTAACCTCACCCCATAGTCTGGTTGTATTAAATATTATGCAATAATTTAAATGTCACCTCACTAAATCAACACAACTTTCTTAATCAGCTGGAAATAAAGGAACGTTGTTTTTTTGGATTATTCAATTAAATATTGTGCACCGAGGAGCACTGAGAAACATTGTACTGAATATTATGCCAATTTTAGAAAATGGTTCCTACTTTCAAATAGCATTCAATCTGTTTGGCTGTGGTTGCTGGGTTGTGTGCAGTTAGAACTTTATAAAACCTTTTATTGGGCCTTGAAAGATGGGGGAGATAGTAGAGTCAGAGAAAAGAATAAAGAACATTTTTTAAGTAGCGAGAAAAGACAAGTTAGACTGGCAGGAGGCCCTCACCTTAACTCCTTGATCTCTGAAGATTTTCCTTTAAAACTTACCTCAGCCACACCTGAGGCCAAACAGTCCTCACCAGTGGTTGGGGAGTCCAAGTCACCCAACCCTTCAACGTGCCCACATAGGAACTGAGGCAATAAGTAGCCCAGCTCCAGTGCGTGGAGGAGAGGTATGTGCTCCTGGTGCTCCCAGACAAAACTCTGCATTCATTTTTCTGCTTATAAAAATATTATTTAATAAACCATTCAATTTCTGTGATTGTGTCACATGTTTAGATGTGGCCCATTTAATGAAGCAGGATGGTAACAATAAGAACAGGCCAAAAATTGAAACCAGACCTACTGACTTCTGCAGGGGGACCTGAACTTGGGAGGGTGACCAGGCTGTGTCCAGCCTGGACCCAGCCAGAGGGAATGACCAGGAATATGAGAAGAACCAAACAGAGGTCTAGGAGTCTTCCTAAAGTCCCATATGCAGCATCTGCTTTCCCACTGCCAGATCCAATTCAAATCTCTATCTTCAAGGTTCATGAAAATATTATCGAAAATGTCTTCGAAAGGCATAAAAATAAAATATACCCAAAGAATGAATCTGAGCCTCTCTCAGCTGCTTTATTGAGTATCTGACTGAACCCTAGCATTCTGCAGCCCTCAGTAACAGGCCACACAATGTGTTTTCTTCACAAGCTGCTAATTTTTTTTTCCCTTTTCATGTGGTATTTTTCAAATAGATTGATAAAGAACAATATGAAAAAATACTTGACCTCATTGAGAGTGGGAAGAAAGAAGGAGCCAAGCTGGAATGTGGTGGAGGTCCGTGGGGGAATAAAGGCTACTTTATCCAGCCCACGGTTTTCTCTAATGTTACAGATGAGATGCGCATTGCCAAAGAGGAGGTAAATGGCTTCATTCTGTTCTGCTCCCTTTATTGCCACATTTTGTCTGCCTGTGTGTACACAGTGTCCCTTGAAAGTTCTCAGCTCTTTGAACATCTTTCTCAGTAAATGTTAGTCTTTATTTCTGTTATTGATAAAGGTTTAAAGTTGTGGTCAAGACTAAAAATAGTAAGGAATTCATGGGGTAGGCCAAAAACATGCAGCCAAACACAGATCAGGATGCTTAACAATTTCTAGGTATGTCCTTCACGGATTTAAAGTAACGAATAAGAAAAGCGGATCTTCAATGTTGCTTTTTCTCCTTTGGAAATAAAATATTTGAAAATAATTGAAAAGTGATAAAATTATGTGCCGTCTATTAATTAATATTTTTTATTTTGAGATTATTAATAGATTTAGTTGCCGTAGTAAGGAATAATACAGAAAAAGTCTTATGTCTCTTTATCCAGTTTCCTTCAATGGTAATATCTTGCAAAGCTATAGGATCAGAGCAAGCATGTCGACATTGAAACAGTCAAGACACAGAACCACATTTCATCACCACATGACTCCCTCATGTTTCCCTTTAATAGCCAAACCCATGTCCCTCCTACCCCACCTTGGCTTGCCCTTAACCACAAATCTGTTCCCTATTTCTATAATTTTGTCATTTCAAGAATGTTAAATAAGTGACATCATACTTCATGTAACCTTTTGGGATTGGCTTTTTTTCACTCAACATATTTCTCTCTGTATAGATTCACCTAGATTGTTGCATATAAGGATAGTCTTTCCTTTTTATTGCTGAGTAGTGCTCCATAGTATGGACGTATCACAGTTTGTTTAAACATTCACCCATTGAAGAACTTTTGGGTTGTTTCCAGTTTGGGACTTCTATGAATAATACTGCTATAAACATTGGTGTACAGATTTTTGTGTGACTGTAAGTCTTCATTTCTCTGGGATAAATGCCCAGGAGTACAATTGCTGAGTCATATAGTAAGTGCAAGTTTTAAAGAAACTGCCAAAATGTTTTTCAGAGTGGCTGAAAGATTTCACATTCCCATCAGCAATACATGAGTGTTCTAGTTTCTCTATATCTTTGTCAATATTTGGTGTTGTGACTATTTCTTTTTAGCCATTCTGATAGGTGTGTGACTAAATATAATAAAACATAATATACTGATCCAAGAATTTTCCCAAATAAAGACGTGGTGGTTGTTCTCAGTCCCTACATGTTATATCTATTCTATTATCCTTATGAATATAACATGTCAAGCTTTTCTGAACCTTTTTGTATTTTGAATTCTCCTTTGAGTCAGTCAACTATGACTTAGGAATATTCTTGTTACCATTCTGTATAGTACATGAGAAACCTAAGGCCCACAAATGAAAAGTACAATGAAACTTCAATTTTGTCGACCTCAGTTTAACAGACTTTGGATTTAATGGACAAAATTTCTGGTCCATATGTCATATGTGAAAATTAATACCTTGTTAATTTTAAAATGCTTTCAATCAAGATTTGCTTATAATTAAATTAACAGGTTATTTTTGTGTGTGTGTTATTAATTCACTGTTATTTTTAACAAATTTTAGTGAATAGGCCATATGTTGGAAAAAATACTGTAGTAATTTTGCTGACAAATAAATATTACATATCTATGACTATAATCTACTTATTTAAGTCCAAGAGTCATCGCTGGTAAACAATGTTTGGCGAATGATTGACACAAGATCACACCTTATGGGGAGAGGTCATTGGTTCTGTTGTCTTGAGGGGTGACTTTCTGTAGCACTTTGAACGCATGCTCACCGATGTTCCCACATGTACTAAGCCACTCCCCAGCCGTGTGCATTTGTTTACTCTAGGTAACTGGTGAATTCACACATTTACTAGACCTATTCAGTATAAATTTAATTTAAAATTACAGTTATACATAGAGAAAACTTTTCTGTGAAATTAAACTTTTCATACATACTTAATTTTAGTTACACAGACATGTTTACATAAGTAAAAACAGGTAAACTAACTAATTTTTCAATATTTTAGCATATGCATTCAGAAAACCTACTCTATTATATAATGGACTTTTGTCTTTAATGGACACCCTTTTGCCCAAATTAGTCTGTTATATTGAGGTTTTACTTTAATTAGGTCACGTGTCTAGTTAAAGGCAGTTTGGGAGCATAACATAATTCTCATGATTCCATTCCCCAAGCCCTTCCACCTGACTAGCTATTGCTCGTACTAACTTAATTCTCCATTCAATCCCACCATAACCTAACATTGTAGAATCTCATGAAACACGTGGGAACCATTCTGTTAAAAGTTGATCAAGCATTAGTACTAGAAGAAAAATTTAGATAGTTCAGGCCAAAATCCAGATTTATAGGTGAGGTCATTGAGATCCAAAGAGCTTGAGTGATTTGTTAGCACCATAAAGCTAGAAGGATTACTTAAGACCGCTTCTTCAACCCCCATTATGTCCATCACTTTGTTCCTGATCAATAGCCAGCCAGTAACAACATCAACAATAGATAATTCCCTATTTATTGAGTATTGCCATATTTGGACAATGTTAAGCATTAAAATGGTCTGCTCTGGCTGCCCTGGAATTCCTCCTCTTATGTTCTACTTGCTGGTCTCATATCTGCCCTTTGGCCTTTTTCCATATAAGACCCGTTTATACACTTGAAAATAGGATTCACCCCCTACATTACCCCTCCTCTCCATGTGCTCCTGGTCCTATATTTTTCACTTGTTTCACTTCCTAATTGTTCCAGACAAATATATTGCAGTTAAATATTTGGTGAGCACAAACTAATTAACAGCAAGAAGAATGTTATTCATAGATATGACACATAACTAGGAAAACCCAGTTTGCATTTAGGAATTGTAAAAACTCTACCTCATGTGCACTGAAGGCTTTTAATAAATATAGAGCTAGATTCATTGGCTTTGGGCTATGAAGATATTACAAAATACACTACAATGGATTAGATTCAGTACACTCAAATGTACTGAATCAAAATCTGTTGATTTGATAGACATATATTTCACGCTCATGAAATGACAGAGAATCTGGGTGGGTTATTTTCTTTACCTCACCTCCACCACCACCAATGTCATGAAATTAGGGGGAAAGTGCAGAACCAGATCTACAAACAGGAAATAAGTAGGAAAAACAAAAAAAGCAGATTCATATGGATAATCAAACACTTTATTTTCTCCATATTAATTCAGCCCTTCACTGAATTGTAACATTTGCATTTACTGACAAATATTTGTCTTATTAGAGCTGTCATTCTTGCTTATCTTGGTTATCAGATAGAAGGGACTAGGAAAAAAATCTTCAAACATTTAGTTTTTTTCTACAGTACTCACAGTAGAGCGCTTGTGTGTTGCTTCAAAGTAGGAGCCTGGAGCCATGTGCTGAGCTCAGTTAAAATCATGTAAGATATTAATACATTTGTTACCGTAGCTGCTATATACCTGGTTTGCAGGTTACAATATCATAATTAGATTTATAACCTTAGGGTTTACACTCAGCATCTCCTGAATGGTAGCCACCCCCTCCTACACTTAGAGCAATGATGAACACCATAAAACTATCTTTTTTTACTTTTATTTTCTCTAATTTACATTAACAAGAAAATTCTGGTAACACTCAGAGGAGCGCCTCTCTCCTTTAATTTTAATATAAGTTTTATGGAAAAACAATACAGGAGTTTAACTTTTAAGAGAAAACCCAGTTGTTTTTCTCCCACCAGGAGGTAACATACAGAATCAGTTAAGTTTGGGCTGCACCAACTAGAGAGTTCAGCAAAAGTGAGAAAGTGTTCAGGCTGGAATGAGCAAGTTGTAATTTGTTTCCTGTGCTGTGATTATAGTCATTGTCAATGAGTTCATGCTTTGGTTAGTACAGAGAGGATAAGAATTTAAGCTCTTGCAGTAATTAACCATTCTGCTTGGTAGATGTGAGTTGAATAAGACTTGGCTGAAGAGTAGAATCTGAACGAAAACTCACGTTGTTTCACCTAACTTGGTTGATTATGAAGAGATCTAAGGCCAATATAATAGTTGCTATTTCAGTGGATGGTAAACTGATATTTAAACCATTATTATCAATCATTGCCTACTCATTTATCCACTAGAACAAACGTTGCTCTCTCAGGTTTGCTGTTTATACAGTTACTTGGAACATGAGGAAAACTAGGACGAAATTTTTAAATGTTCCGAAATGGGAAAGTGACTCTGTGGCTAATGATTTCATGCATAATCATTATGTTTTTAGAAGACTGATTCCAATTCTAGAATATGAATATTGCCTTATTTATTTGTATCCCATCTTGTTCTATAGAGAACTTAACAACTGCCTTAACCTGCCATTCCAGCAGCTACCATTCTGATTCTTACAAGTGGGTTTGAGATGAGAGGCAAGATCTTAATTTAGGATAGTTTGTAAGGCAAAAAACGATAAATACTATTTTAAATATTTTGTTTTAACCTATTACTTTGATTTATTATATTCATTCCTTGTGGTATAGATATTTGGACCAGTGCAGCAAATCATGAAGTTTAAATCTTTAGATGATGTGATCAAGAGAGCAAACAATACTTTCTATGGCTTATCAGCAGGAATCTTTACCAAAGACCTTGATAAAGCCATTACAGTCTCCTCTGCTCTGCAGGCCGGGACAGTGTGGTAAGTCAGACCTTTTTAATGTTAACTACATTAACAGGTTCCTTTGAACCTTTGCAGACTTTGATTATTTCACTTGGAATCACGTGGCCTGCTGAAAAAACAGTTGTTACCAAAACAAAACAAAAACCCTGCTATCTTGGAAAAACTTTAGAAGAGTATTTTCTTTAAGTCCTTCCAGCCTCCTGAAATTGCTTGCCCAAATTATTTTATTGATGTTTGGGTAATACAGTATAAGTTTTACTAACTTCTAGGCACTTGGTACTATGCTATACACAAAGGAGATAAAAGTTGTGATTTAATCAAGTTAATTAGATAATGACAGTATTTATTTGGTGTCCTTATGTATGCAAACATTTAATTCTTTCATCAGCTTCTTGCTCTGGAATTATTTGAGATGTCTGAAGATCTTTTTTTTAATCCTCACCAGAGGATATGCTTTTTATTTATTGATTTTCAAGAGAGAGGAAAGGAAAGGGAGAGAGAGGGAGAGAAACATTGATGTGAGAGAGAAACATCGATTGGCGTCCTCCTGCATATGGCCCCCACTGGGGATAGAACCTGAAACCTGGATACGTGCCCTGACCCCTGACCCAGAATCGAACCCTCAACTTTTTGGGATAAGGGACAACACTCCAACCAACTGAGCCACACTTGCTAGGGCTGAAGATCTTAATTTGGAAGAACATATTGAGTTTTGAGGAACATGTCCCTCTCATTTTTGACCTGGTTTATATCTCTGATTTGTATACTTTAATTTAGAGAACATAAGAGCTGAGGTGGTGCCTCTCAAACTATTTTATCCCATGCCCAGCCCCCAGTCCCTGGGCTGCTTTCTTGGTATTTTTTGTCCTGTCGAACCTCACTTTATGCCCTCAGTTCTGGCAACAGCCCAAGATTATTTTCTTTTCCTAAAATGTCACATATATTCCAGTTAAAAATTTGTTAGACATTAAAAAGAGACAGACAAGCAATCCTTGCCCCTCCTGATAGTTCCAGGATTGATAGTTCCAGGATCTTTTTCCCCAACCAAAGGGAAAGCCATCATTTAGTTAATATGCACTCTACGCTGGGCACAGCACTGCATTCTTTACATTCATTATCTTATTTTACTCACAGCTACTTAAATACGTCAAATTTACCAATGAAAAAATGAAAGCTTAGCGAGATTAAGATCACACAGTAGATGACAGCTGAGGTTCAGACCTATTTCAGGCTCTAAAACAATGATTCTCAACCCTGACTGTACATTAATTAGAGTCGTCTGAGAAGTTTTAGTCATAGATAAACTGATCTGGGGTGGGGAGTGTGTACATTAAACCTACCAATTACATCAATCTCAGTAACTGACTCTGGGCATAGCTCTTTTATTTGAGGAGTATATTTCAAAGCTTTCACATGATTCTCATGTGTAACCAGGACAGAGGACCACTGTTCGAAAGCCTGATTCTTTGAGAGACTCTTAAATAAAATTGAATTTTTCTTAAATAATCAGTTTGACCAATGACTAATGTAGAATTTTCCTATGATACAATTATTAATAAAATTTATCATTACTGTTGTATGTGTGTATATTATCTGCATCTATTAAAGACTTGCTATATATCAAGCACTATATGAAGCACAGTTCTATACATCACCTTACTTACGCCTTGAGACAGCACTGTTAAATATTATCATGACATTTTACAGAGGAGGAACCATATGCTTAGAGAAGCTAGACAAGTTTCTCAATATCTCCAAGTTATAAGGAGCAGAGCCGGGGTTTGTGGGCATAACACCTCCCTTTACAACAAGAAAGGATCGTAACAAGAGAATCAATTGGCAAGGCTGGTCAATTTGAACATACAGTTTTCTTTAACTGAGTATTTCTCAGTTCTCTGTTTACTAACACTAACATAGTTTCATTTCCAGTATACAGTCTAAAGGGCAAACTCGTTTTCTGTGCTTTTTAACAAAGACAAGTTAGGCTTTGTTATATGCCTGTTTGATTTAAGAAGCTTGTTATGTGACATCATTCAACCCAGTGGCGTGGGAATCCCCAGTCAGAAATTTCTCTACTATTAAAATAGAGGCGACCATATTCTTATTACTGAATATCTTAAACCATAATAATGTTCTGGCATTATCCCAGAAGTAGTCACTGCTTGATGTTTTCCAAATAACTACTGAATTCCGGAGTTGTTGGGACTTTACCCATAATTTCAAAGTAATGATTTGATTTTGCAGTTGAAAGAGCAATGAAACAAAGCTGAGACAAGTTGGCTTTTGAAAGTGTAACTTTTTTGCCCGGCCGGGTGTGGCTCAGCGGTTGAGCATTGACCTAGGATCCAGGCGATCAGGGTTCGATTCCCGGTCAGGGCACATGCCCGGGTTGCGGGCTCGATCAATAACTCTCTCATCATTGATGTTTCTCTCTCTCTCTCTCTCTCCCCCTCTCCTTTCCTCTCTCTGAAATCAATAAAGATATATTTAAAAAAAAAAGAAAGTGTAACTTTTTTAAGGAACTATCCCTCCAGGAAGAGAGGCTGGATAAGAACTCTGTGGTCCAGTGAAAATGTGGAAGAAACTCCAGGAATTGGATAGTAAATACTGTAATTGAGAAAATGTCTGAGTATTACCTCAGAATCAAATTAATAACCAAACTCTTCCAAGCATAATGCAATTTATCTAGAAGTCGCACTGTCGTTTACCTATCATAATGATCATAATGGCATAAAGGGAAGGAAGAGTATTTTAAAAGAGTGTTGTTCCCCTTTTAAATAATAATGTTTTCCTCTTATGTAGAATGAGAATCATGTAGATAATTAGAATTTGCTGTTCACTTTGGCAGCCAGGAAATTTAAAGCTAAACAAATTGTTCATGTCCTGCATAACTGCATTCTAACTGTCCCCCTTGTCTTGATCTTTTATTGTAATTTTTTCTTTTTTAGTTCTAATCACTCATGTTTTTGTAATTATTTTTGTTCAGAAATACTGCAAGGAGTAAACAAATTAATAATGAAATCCAACTCCTGCCAAGGCCTCAGTTTAAGCAGTTATTGAACCAATTAATGAAAAAAATGAACTGAGAAATATGATACATATTATCATTGTGAAAGAAAATTGATTCTAGCCTGTTAAGTACACAACTCTCAAGAAAATTACAAAGCTCACTGAGTAAAGGCAGTAACCAGCTAACAAACTGCAGTCTCTAGCAATCCATATCCTTTGTCATATGGCATACAAGCTATTCTATCTTTTATAATTCAAATTACAGCTTCTGAGGGACATAATTCCCTAACCAAATGGCTGTCCACACATAAAGTTGTACCCTTGTACTAGTTTCTAGGCAATATATACACACACACCAGTGATTTTCAACCAGTGTGCTACAGCGTGTTTAAAACATGCAATGCCGAACTGTTCAGTCAGGTGCACTTCTTTCCCCTTAGATTTTCAAATTTAAAAAAATGACAACAGCCAACACAACAATAGCCACCCCAGTGTGAATGAGTCAAAATTATATCTTCTTTTTCTGGTGTGCCACATAATTTTAGTAATTAGTTTATGTATGTCATGAGATGAAAAAGGTTGAAAATCGCTGACTATGCACAACCCAAGGACACGGACAGTGGTGGGAAGAGGGACTGGGGAGGGCGTGGGACGGGGTGGAATGGGTCATTGAGGAGAAAAAGGGACATCTGTAATATTTTAAACAAAAATAAAATTAAAACAAAAGAAAATCGTTGACTTATACTTCTGCAATCTAATTTATAGTGCTAATTTTTTTGCAATGAGCATGTTATATTGAAATTAATGGAGTTCTTAAACAGCTCTCTGAATTTCTAAAATTCCAGGTTTAGGAGTTATTTACTAGGTAAGTATGATCTATAATATGATATTTTTTTTCTTTCCAGGGTGAATTGCTATAACATGGTGTCTGCCCAGTGTCCCTTTGGTGGATTCAAGATGTCTGGAAATGGACGAGAATTGTAAGAATACCTCTCTATTAAGATAAATTCTTATCTCTATAAAAATGATTGTCACTCCCAGAGGATTAATCCATAGTCCCTACTTGAATTCAAGCTTGCCTCTGTTCTTCCCTAAAGAATCATACGACCAAATCATTTTTTGTTGTTTTTTTATGTTCACCTCTTTTTTTATTGTTGACATTATTATAGATGTCCCCCATTTCCCTCTACTTTACCCCCCTCCACCCAGGCCCCACCCTGCCCTCCCTCTGGCCATAAGCACATTGTTTAAATGCTGGGTTTACCCTATAAGTACAAAAAGGTAATGGCAGAAGGGAAATATAACGTATTAAACTCCTACTATTCATAAGGGACCATCCTAAGCACTTTACTTTGGTTATTGAAAATATTCCCAGAAAGAAGCTAGAAATTATAAATTGGCGATTGTAAGAACTGTGAAAATATAAGAACACTAATTATTTGAATATACCTCTTAAGTAAATAGATTAGTGGCCTTTATCTAAAAAAAATTTTTCAGTGTAAGAGGAATGATTTTTATTTGTTGAACTATTATTGATGTAGACTCCAAAATTTTAAGTTACCTGAACTAGTTATTCCTTGGTACTAAAACCTAAACTGAATAGGAAGTTTGACTAAGGAAAACATGTTTTATAGTCCTGATTAAATTGAGAATATATCTAAAAATGCATTTATGAGCCTTCAATTGCTTTTTAAACTGGGGTATATCGACTTTTTAAATATGCACACATACTTAAATACACATAGGAAGCAATGGCAATATGTTTGCTTAATTTTGTCCAAGCAATTTTAACCACTTCATTTCTTAAAATTTTCTTTTATTTAGCAATAAAATTTAAAACTCGTAAAGAAAAAAGACATATTATATACAAAGTTTATCGAATCAAACATGGTAAAGCTGCCCATTTTATAAATAGAAAGTAAAAGTGAGTCTTAGTTTCTAAAGGTCATGCATTCGTGTACTTTGTCATTTAAATAATTCAGCAAAATTACAACAAAACTGTCTTTGGAGAGCTGGTGGGAAAAAAAGGAAATGATAAAGTTACCCATCATGCTTCTCAATTTACATTCATTAAGTACTTGTATGTATATAAGATCAGAGAGCCCCAGAATCATGATACCATATCCCATCCTTCATATAATTGTGGTGGCAGGAGGAATGTGTAAAAAGAGCTATAGTGCAAAATATCCTACATACACTATGAAATATGTGTTAGACTGGAGACATACCTCATGGCGGTAGAGAAGCAGTTAAAGTGCAGAGCACAGTATTTAAGGACAGAAAATTGGGCACCACTAGTATACTATGGCATCTAACTCACAATTTTAATCTGCCCAACAAGGACAGCATTTGTGGTGGAAATAGGAATGGGAGAAGAAAGCAGAAGGTCCGTGATCTCCTTTCCATGTTTAAGATTCTATGGTTGTAACTCCAGTGGAAATTCAGTGGATAAAAACTGAATGGCAGTGATAGAATAAGAGAAGATCTCACAGCAAAGACAGGAGTTTATCAAGGGCGTGAAAGAAGTGTAGGAATTCAGCGAGTGGGAAAGAGGCAGTTCTCAACAGAATGTTACATGTGGCATGTGGAGGGGCCAGTGAGTTTGGTTGGCTGGTGGGAATTTATGGGGGTGGAAAGTATAAGTCCAGAGTTAAATAAGATACAGACTAAGAAGTTTTGAATTCAAGAAAATTGGATTACATTTTATTAGTGGACCAGTGAAAAGCTACAGATATCTTGAGAATGTTGTTGAGGAGGCAGAGAATGGCAAAAGGTCAACCGATAAAAAATGTATGGCATAGTAAGGAAAACATAACTGGAGGTTAACTGACTTGCACTGAGTCCTGACTCCACCGTTTGCTAGCCATGCAGCCTGGTCCGACTTGTACAACTTGTGAGCCTCTATTTTCTCCCGTTTAAAATGGAGATGTTAACATTCCTCTTAAGATGGGCTTAAAAGTAAAATGACCTCCTGCATGTTCATTCCCTAGGCTTGTAACTGTCACAAATGGAAACTCTACAAATAGAGTCTTCCTTTCCTAGCTCTTTTTCTTTATAATATTCATTATTAGAAAGTCCCTTGGCAAAACTAATTACTTCATACAAAAAGCTGTAACAAAGGTTAGATTACTCTGAAGGACAGTTAGTTCATCACTGGCCCAGCTAGCTAACACATTTCACTAGGAGTGTTGAAAATAAACTAATCAAAAGGGATGAAATAACTAAAGTACACCAAACATGTCAATTTTGTTTAATACGATTTGGTTGAAGCAAAAGGAAACTGAGAAAGAGAGAGATGAAAAACAGGAACCACCCTTCAGTAATTTCCTAAAAATTGGGAATGTGGGCACAGATACTTTTCTTCTTTAAAATACAAAGAAAAAAGTTATATGGTAATTTTTACTTCAAAAATTCTAGCTGAGGATGCTACTGTTAATGTCCACCTGAAACCAAATTTGGCAAACTTAATAAACAAATCATTTTCTACAATATGTTCAAATAGAACTATCGAAGCGATAACCTCAGACCACTAACTCCCAAGAGTTCAACTGTAATTTCTCCTCAATGATAGGAAGGCAGAATTCATCAGGTGGGAACAGAATCCTCAAAGAGCCAAAAATAGTGGAATGTAGACCCCAGTGTGGTGGTGATGCTGAGCACCTGAACCAGCACTTGCATTTCAGATCATGGTGCTAGCAAAGGAATTAGTTAAATGGCAGAAATTGCTCCCTTTGTGTAATTGCACTAATTTTTATTTAGGTTAATGTAACTTGAGACTTAACTAGTATGCCATTTCAAACTTTGATTGGCTCTCAGCACCCTATACGATATTTCTTTCCTCCTGTCCCTTTTGAAAAGGTGAACATGAAAATGTTATTAACTACTGGCCTTAGAGAGAGAGCTCACATGAGTACTTTTGCTTGATTTTATTTGCAAGTTAGTTCAGCAAACATTTCCTCTCTACTTAATTAGTATCAGGCTCATTTCTGGGTCCAGAGTGGAAAACAGATGCAACTTGTTACTACAGTGAAGGTCCTAGAGGGTATCACTGGGAAGTTTATTGGAAATGCAGAGTCTCAAGCCTCTCTCCAGACCTCCTGAAACAGAACCAGCATCCTGTCAGGTCCCAGGTTATTGGCATATTAAAGATTTTAGAAGCACAGAACTAGTCACCCACAGATGAATAAGATAAAGAGATGTTTTTGTGTTATATCATAGACATAATATATGCATAGGTATGTTCAGGAGCAAGACTGACTTCATCCTGAGTATGAAAACAATCACACTTACTACAGTCCTGGCAGTTTCAAGTGTCCTGTGACCCAAAACACAATGGAAAGCCTATTGGCCAAAATTGTGGATTAATTTATCTAAATTTGTGAGATAAAATACTATCCTTTAATGGGTTTCAGACAACTGAGACTAAACCCTTTAATTACTTTGAAGAACATGCTCATTGAAGCTTTTAGAAGCATTTTCAGAAGCTTAATGGCCCAAGAAAATAATCAGGGTAAGAGGATTAGGTTACCCAGGAGAAAGAGATGTCTTCTGCATACCTGGCTACATCACCAGAAGGGAGGGGTAGAAAGGATCAAGGTCTTTTTCCTCTGTAAGCCTACATGTGCATTAGTGTTATGATTTTAAGACTTCTCGTAGGCACATGTAATTCAATGCTCTGATCAAAATAATACAGAGAATAACTGCCTGGTCTTTTTACTTATCTCTGTAAAAAAGGTAAGTCATAGTCAGTTTTGAAAACTGGTAGGAGGCCTTGATAAGCCTGATAACAAGATACCAGGGTCCCAATTGATTGACCCAGGTGAATGCCTGATCATTTGGATTGGATGTAAGAGCTGTATAAGCAAATGGCAGGGGCTGGATGAGCAGGAAAACCCAGCAACCATAAAAAGTCCAAAAGGCCTGAATTTAGGCCGATGAACCCTTTCCCCTTCTTAAAAACAAAACAAACAAACAAAAAAGAAAGAAAAACCTCTAACAATAGATCAGATTTTTTATTTTTCCAAGAATCAAAAATCAAAAGATATTGTTAAAACTACAGCTAAAAATATTTTGTTCCATGTCCTCTATTCGAGCATGTTAGAATGAAGATGGGATCATGGTCACTTTTAACCCCCTCATCTCTTGTGGGCTAATCACATATGGTAAATAACTCAGCTAAACTATACTTGAATTTACTAATTTTTCTATACGACCCGAATGATTATGCAGGGTGAGGCAAACAGAGGTGTACAATTGTGAGTACGTGAAACATTGTTTATTCTTGTATTATTATTTACTTATATTATTTTACCATGTGAACAACTGCAAACCTACTTTTTCCCTACCCTGCATATTACTACTTCTCTCCTTGTACTATATCTGATCTTATTTATTTTAACCTAAACTAGAATTTGTGGGTGTGTATGTGGTGAGTTCCTTTATAGTCAAGGAGAACAATGTCAGAAATGGACAATTTCTGTGAAAATCAACTGAGTGCCCATGATCCATTTAAAATGCCCCCAAAAAAATTTGTTTGAAATTTTCCCCACAAGGAGATTTATGTAACACCAGATATCTTCTGGTTGGCTAGCTGCTGTTTGAAATGCTTCTGTACACAGAAAATACCTTCCATTTTTCCTAGTCAGATAAGCAAGAACAAACTTGTACCAAATCACGGACTATAGTAGATTTTGTACTGCTGTGCTAAATTCTGTGGGATTTCCCCCCACTCTCTCTAGGGGCGAATACGGTCTCCACGAGTACACAGAGGTTAAGACGGTCACAATGAAAATTTCTCAGAAGAACTCATAAAGAAGCTACAAGGACAGAGAGAAGAGTCCTCAATGGCTAAGCATCTCTTACAGTCACTAATATATTATGGTGGGTTTCAAATACAAAATTGTTGTTTTCTTGATTTTTTTAAAACATAAGCTAATCATATCAGCATTAATACTACGCATAGAATACTTGACATATACCTTATACTGAATCATTTATCTTCTGGTATGTGACCTCCAAGTCCTATCTGTAATAAGGAGAATGGATTTAGATGCAAGATATCTCTAGTTCCATAGCAGTCATGTGCTTTTCTTTGTAGCTACTTGTCCAGGATAATCATTGTGTAGAAGAGGACCAGTTGTCACTTAGCTTCTTCCCATTAACAGCCCCTTGACATACTTAACGTGCCTGTTAACTGCAGAGTAGATGTGCTCTGTTCCCAGTAGTTGTGAAGTCCTTAGAATTGTTGAAATGTTTCCAACAATGTGTTGTCTTCTTCTCAAATGAAGTAATCCCTGAAATACTTAGCTGTAATCTAATCATAAAGCTTAATAAAAACAACCTTGCATGATTCAGGTTAAGTTTGATTTTTTTTTTAAAGTAGAAGTCTTGGTTATGGTGAATTATTCTCCCTGTCACTCTAAATCAGTGTTAACTTGAGCGTAAAGATACATTTAAAAATGAAAGTCTGATCTACTTATTCTCAAATGGATAAAGAAACATATTTTATTTTCCAGAGGAATTCCTGAAATCAATAGCAAACATTTGAGATAGATGGTTCCAATCCTTCAGCAAGCATTTATTGAGTTCCTACAAAGTTCTAGGATTAAAACACATAAAGCACTGTGTTAGGTCTTATAGAAAACAGGGGAATAGTGGATGTTCAATCATCTCAGGGTGCTTTAATTTAGTGGAGTACAAAGATGCCATCAGGAAGGAAGGAAGGAGGTGGGGGGAGAAGAGAGGAAAGAAAGAAATGAAAGGGGTTTATAATAGAAATGAGAATTCTAAGAAGCATGAGAGTGCAGTAATGTGCCAAAGGGATAATGATGACCTCTAACTGCAGGAATTGAGAATGGCCTCATGAAGGAAATTTGGCTTTATATGACCCTTAATTGATTATTGATTTGCAGTGACAAAAGGAGAAAGAGATTCCACAGCATAGTCTCTCAGGACAGGTTCTATTAGAAAAAAAAAAAACTGGAAAAATTTGATATGCATATGTAATATTTTCCCCTCTTGGAGTTTCAAATTGAATATTGGCACATTCCAGGTTCTGAGTAGCCCTACAAAGCTCACACAGTTTTTCCCAAAAAATTTATTTAACCAGAGAACATGCCTTCTCTCCACCCTCATTTAACACCAGTTAACACTAAGAAGCCCATGTTGGAAGATGCTGCTCTCTGCAACAAGGTAGCGCTGAGTGTTCTGAGGAGATGTCTGGGGATCAAGCAGGGAGCAGATGTCTTCTGTATAAAACTAACTGGACCATACTTACATATTTATTCCCTCAGATAAAGAGCTTCTGTGCACACTCCCATGAAGGAAACAAAAGAAATTAATAATTTTATGTGTATTACTGCACATATTCTAAAATATTCTTAATACAACATTTTAAAACTTAAGACTAGTAATCTTTAGGATAACTTTTTTTTTTCCAGTTTCAGATACTATATAAATAATTAAGTTTACCATTTTAACATTAATAGGTACTTCAGTGACACTATTATTAGGACATTTTAATAATTGCCACAGTAGAGTGCAACAGTGTGTGAATGAATAAAATTTATTAGCTTCTAGACCTGAAATAATTTCAACTCCAATTACAAGAGTTTCTCAAAATTGTATGGACCTATAAGATTTGCATTCTGAACTGTACTGTAAATTTTGGGACATAATTACCATTTTGAAAACTGGGGGAATCAGAGTCTTAGGGAGACCTGAAAGATCTTTGGACATTGAGAGGGGAAAATATCCAAATACAGAGGAGGGTTGTGTTTTATGAAAACCAGACAGTGTCTACATTTTTAAAAGATGTGTTTAAAAACATATGTAAATAAATTAATAGGTAGACAAGTTAACATTATAATGGCATCACACCAGAACATTTTTTAAATGTATAACAAAGAGGGCTGAACACAGAACAAGACAAAAGCCAGATGCAAGTTTAAGTATTTGAAAATTTAAACTTCACTGTATAAATAAGACATTACAGGATTAAACAGAAAATATCTGCTTTATATTGGCTCGTTGTGAGCCTGCAGACATTATTTGTATTCCTTTTTCCCCAATTTATAAAGCCACACTGGCAATAATTCTTTATACATTGAAAAGCTAAAGGTGTTTTATTAGTCCATGTGCTGCAGGAAATACAAAAACATATGTGATCTCATTGTCCTCAATATCCACATGGCAGAAAGCATTTTTTATTTTCAGCAATACCAGACTAAGTCACAGAACTTGGAAGTATTTGTTCGTTAAGAGACAATATCAGGACTTAGATATGGATTCTCAAATGTCCAATGTCCTTCCCCACCCCCTTCCCATTTTTTAGGCTATATGCTTCTAAATTTATTTTAAAACAGCCAAGGAGAAATAGGAGGAAACATTTTTTCTTAAATTTTTGTGGCCAACTGAAAATAGGGCTAACCAAAGTAAAGAATTTTAACTATTTCTTCACATAATTTGGGAGGAAATGATGAACCCCAAATGCCCCTTTCCCTGAGTAATGCTTGTAATCTTTTGACCAAGGAATTTCACTTGAACCTTTACAAGTACACATGTACTAACAACTAAACTTTTATATTTTGGTGGCATTTTCAGAGTATGTCAAATAACCAGGTTATGTTTTTACATGCAGCACAAGTTCCCAATTAGAACTTCATTTTCTGGTTTACTTTGGAATTTTAAAAAATGTTTTCTGGAGATGGCGTTTGAACCTCCCTATTTTGGTGGTGAAAGAATCTTAAGGGTCCAAGATGGCTGTGGAGTAGATGTATGTTACACTCACCTCCTCCCAGGACCAAACTGGGAGGTTCAAACTAAAATTGCAGCTAACTTTAGTTTGAATTATGTAGTTGTTAAATTACAACTAAAATATAGAGCAATTAGCCTGAATAAAAAACTGAAGACTAGCTAAAGAGAAATCTTATAACCAAGGATTTACAGAAGAAGTCACATCAAGACTGGTAGGAAGGGTAGGGATGTGAAAAAGGCTGTCTCCACTCTTATGGGTGATGGCTGAGATTCCAGAGGGATATCTTAGCTGCAAAGTTTCCTCCTGAGAAGCATGTGGTTTCAACCCCATACCGGGCTCCCTGCTCCAGAGCACCAGAACTGGGAAGAGGTGCCCACATAATATCTGGCTATGAAAATCTTTGGGAATTCTGTCTGCCAGGGAGGGACTGGAGACTATAAGAGACAAAGGTGAGCTTTTAAAGGGACAATGCACAAAATATTGTTCACAGCCACTCACTCTGGGCCCTGGGGGAAAGAGGAGAGGATTATAGTCATGGGAAGAGAGACTGAAGTTTGTGGCTCTGATGAGAGCTGAAGAGACAGCTGCCAGGAATCCTGTGCTGAGTTCCTCTCGCATACCACAGATACTATATTTCTTGGGTGGAGCACTCCCCTCCATATGGCATCAGCCTGGTGGGGAGAAGGGAATGCAATAGCTCCACACTCTGGACTCACTGTTGCCCCACCATGTAGAGCTTTCACCCTGCTGAGGAGTCAGCTGCTGGGCAGGGATGTAGAAGTCTGGGTAGACTCAGGGGATGTCAGTGACTGAGTTGTGTGGTTTTGGGGTGGGTCTGTTACCCCCATTTTTTCCTGAACCTGACTGGGGCCTCCATGTCACTAGAGATACACTAGCCCCACTCCCTGGGCTCTCAGCAGCCCCACCCTCCTGATTCCTGGTGGTTCTACCCTGTGGAAGTCGGCAAAATCTGGGATGACTGAGTTGTGCTGCTCTGGGGAGGGGTCACTACCTCCACCACCCCTAAGCCTGACTGGCACTTTCCCCTCATTGGAGATCCATTAGCCCCATCCTGACTCCCAGTGGTCCTGCCCTGCTGAGACTGAGCTTCTGGTAGAAACTAGGACAGATTTAGTTCTGGGCTCTAAGTCGGGGGCCATTTTTCTCATGCACATCCCAATGGTTCAGAACCCTCCCTTCACATGGCCAAATCTAGGTCTAGTTAGCCTGATAAACTTTGCTTATCTCACCCTGATGACTCTCTGAGACCCTGCACCATCACAAAGGTGTGTGAGTAACCAGTGGGTGGCAGCTAAACTTGGTATAGTCTGGGACATTTGCTGAGTGGCCTCAGACCTAGCACTGCATAGATCTGCATAGATCTGGTGAACACCATTGGCCCCTACCTGGTGACTCACTAAGAACCTACCTCATGCAACTTGAGTACTGCCAGAGGTTCTTTCAGTAACTGAGACTAATAGGCAATTGGCAGGCAGAGGTAAGCAGAGGTGGATCTTGGGGATCCTTGGGACTCTTGCTGACCTGACCTTGGGCCTGGTTGGTAAAAGCCAGCCTTGGTGCACATACCCAGGCCCAGCAGAGGCAGCCATTAGTAGCTCCAAACAGGATACCCAGGGCCAGTCACAGGCAGCATCTAACATTAGCTTGCACCAGAATCCCTCCCAAGAGGCTCCAGAACCAAGACAACCAGTGGCCATCTTCAGACAGCGTCAGAGCAGGATCCCACAAGGGGCGTATACAAAGGGAGGTCATGCCAAGCACCAGACATAGAGTTCAATAAAATCGTTATAAGGATGCTCACAGAACTTAAAACTACAACAGCATGAAAAATGACATAGAAACCATTTTTAAAAAGTCAGAAATGAAGAACACAATAGCTGAAATAAAGAATACACTAGAAAGAATTAACAGTAGGTTAGATAAAGCAGAGGATCTAATCAGTGATTTGGAAGACAAGGTAGCAAAACACACCCAATCAGAGCATCAAAAAGAAAAAAGAACTTTAAAAAATGAGAATAGTTTAAGGGACCTTTGGGACAATGTGAAGCATATCAACATGGGCATCACAGGATTACCAGAAAGAGAAGAGAGAGAGCAAGGCATTGAAAACATATCTGGAAACAAGATAATATTTTCACAAAACCATTATCTAATTTGTCAGTGTTTATCTAACACTGACAAAATACTAATCTCTAACACACGATCCACATATACTTTTCTCTAATGGTCCCACTAATGTCCTTTATGCCATTTTCCCCTTGATCCAAAATTTAATCTAGGATAGTGCATTGCATTTACTTATCATGGCCTCCTCCAGTCTTACTAGTCCTTTATAATGGCAATAGAACTCATAAACACACTAATATTTAGTCAGGTTGGTTAGCACTGCCTTGGACAGGAGAGAAATCTAGGGGACACCAAAACTTAGAGTTACTGAGTTATCAAGAATTAGAAAAAAGAGGGTTGAATAGTTTTACAGAATAGATGTTTTATTTTAAGATTTGTTTATTAATTATCATCTGCCATGATAAACAAACAAGAACGTTTATATAGGCTGAAAAATATGTTTTCTCC